TAGGTCCTCCAGCTAGCCCTGGGGACAAGAGGTCTTAACCTAACACCTTGTCAAAGGTCTGGAAATTTGTTATTTAAGGTCACACAACAATGGAACTGACTTTGTGAGGCTTAACCAGGTCTGGTAACAAGCAGGAGCAACAGCCCAATCTCGGACGATGTCTGAATTTCCATGGGCCATCCTCTTTATGGACCCAGGAAACAATTAGCTGCCCATCTGCTTGCTGTGGGGTGAAGAACAATTTAGCTTCCAGTTTACCTAGAAAGTATAATATGCTCATTGGTTATGTTTCCCCCTGTCAGCATAGAGGCCTTTCTGATGAACATTCACATAGGCATCAAAACAGTTATTAAGAGCAGAAATGGTCTTTATCCAAGTCTCACCTCCATAGGAGGTCCTGTTTTATATGCCACACAACCAAATGGCCAAGCCATGACCTACAGCCCAACACAACAAAAATACTGCAGGATTTATTTGCCAGGCTAGAGCAAAGAGTCGAAGATGGAGAAACAGTGGGGCAGATAATCTCACAGTCTTCCACACTGCATGGAACTGCCATTGTGCAAGGGTCCTTTACCAGGTTCGGTAAAGGACAGGTCTCTCTCAGGTTGGATGGTAGCCGCACTCAAATCCACCCCAACACAAGTTAACCAGGAGGAACTAACAGGGAAGCAGGTCCATGAGTGGTCCAGAAGGGGCCAGATGAGGCAGGGGCCCCTTGGGTGTTATTCCTAGAAGGTGGAGGGGCCCTCTGAGATCTTTCCACGGAGTTACAAGACTCCAACTGGGCTCCTGTAAGAGCCATTTCCACTTCACGAGAGATTCAGAGCTGCTGTTCTTCACCTACATGACTGTATTTTTTGCTTGTGAACTGACTACAGCACTGGTCCCCCAAAGGGAGTAATTGTCTTTCAAAGGGCATGTACCTTTCAGGCAACTTGGGGAGCTTATGGGAACATGCTGGCCTATGGCATTGTCCTTCTGCCATAAGCTCCGGGCAGTGAACTGACAGGTTGCTGAGACATGTAATTCAAAATGACAGATGTGGATTAGTAGGGCAGCAGCCTGGTGGCCTGCTGGAAGGCCTCCAGGGTATCCTGTTTGGGGGCCCATTCACAGGCAGCAGCCTTTCCTGTGGCCTGGTAGATGGGTACCATCAAGATCCTCACATAGCTTATGTTACAGCATTAGTAGCCAAATAGGCCCACCAGTCCCTGAGCCTCATTTTTTATTTTTGGGGTCAGAAAGGTCCAGAAGTTTGGTAATGACCTCCTCTGGAATGAGATGCGATACCACTTCCCAGATCATGCCAGGAATTTCAGTTGGGTACTAGGTCCTTGACCCTTGTCTGTGTTAACGGCCCAGCTGGGTTGCCACTGTGAGTCATTATGGCAGCCAGTCCTTGCAGGGCAGCGCCCTCACTTAGGCCTCCAGGAGGCTGTCATCAACATGGAAAGCCAGCATTCTGTCTAGGAGCAGACTTTTTCCAGACCCACTGATAGTGGACAGGCGGGGAGTTGAGGAAGCCTTTGTAGAAGGATATTCCAGGTGCGCCAGAATTCGTCCACGTGAAGGAAGTCGATCCTGACCAGTGCTGACCGGCCCCGAGAGGGATGCTGGAGAAGGCATTTGTGATGTCAGTCGCTTCCAACCAAGCTCCCCCCGGTAGCCTCTTCATGATGCCAGTTATCACCTGTGTCAAGAGCAGCACTATGGTATCGAGGCACCCAGAACCAAGGGCAAGTCTCCTGGAACCCAAGGCCTTATTCCCAGGCCGGACAGGCTCCTGATGGAGAAACTGTCTCACAGAGCACTTTGTCTTGCTTCAGCCTAGCAGTCAGGGCAGTTATTTGTTTACTTGCCACACAGCCGATACTGTTTTTGGGAGGCAATGGTACTAGGAACTGGTAGCCACATAGGTTCACATGCTCCAGTAAGGTCTTCCACATGCTTCACTAAGATGGCCTTAATTGCAGCAATTCACACTGGGGCCTGGGGAAAAAGGTGAGCGGGTGTACACATAGATGTACATCTACACCAATACACTTTCAGCAGTTGGGGCTTGTAAGTACTCAGCCAGAACCAGGCCGGGGCAAGGGTACTTACTGGAACCAGTCTTTACATCAAGACTAAAGAGCACTGGATTATTCGCTTCCTTCTGGTAGCAGGGGCCCCAGGAATCACACTCGCCGGTGCACTGATATCCAAAAGGCCCAAGAAGTGCCATTCTCCCCACCTCCCCAATGAACTCTGACCCTGGCATAGGTCCTCCAGCTAGCCCTGGGGACAAGAGGTCTTAACCTAACACCTTGTCAAAGGTCTGGAAATTTGTTATTTAAGGTCACACAACAATGGAACTGACTTTGTGAGGCTTAACCAGGTCTGGTAACAAGCAGGAGCATTAAGGGCAACCCCACCATCTGAGCCTGTTAACAGTCTCATTATCCACTGTTCCTAATTCCTTGCTGTACACCCAAGGGATCACCAGTGTGGCTTGCAGGGCTGCTACAGCCTCTAGCACCCAGCTGAGGGAGGCGAAGGTCTGGGTGTCTATGCATGCTTATCCTCTTCCTCCTCAAAGTCACCCATTACGGCATTGTAAGGGTCTGTGACACACTCCTCAAAACACCACTAAATTTAACAAGATTACCTCACTATTAAGGACAGTTCTCCTCAGAATCAAAAAGTCCCTAGATAATGCCTAGCCCTTGCCAGTGCCCATGAACCCAGCCGGGGAAGCGCTCTGCAGACCCCCAGGCTTCTCACTCCTCAAGAGCCACGCTGTACGTACCTGACCACTTTGCTGCTGTACCAGTTCGGTCATGTAGAGGTGGTTAGTTAGGACAACAAGCCAAACAGAAAACAATCAAGGCTTTATTCACTTACTGTGACAGTGCGAGCCAAGAGTCAAAAAAAAAAGGCACCAGCTCCTCAGGGTCATTTCTCCCAGTGGAGCAGCAGCAGGCAAGTCAGGTAGATGCAGCAGAGACGACGAGATTCATCTCAGGCAGCGGAGCACCGAGCAACAGCTTCTGCTGCCTTACAGACCCGTACGCAAGGGAAGGGAGTGGGGCACGGACAAGTGCAGAAAGGTTCTGAGTCCGGGTGGGGAAAAGGGTTTCAGCTGAACCCCTAGACAAGGAGATCTCAGCAGAGGTGCCTAAAAACTCCTTTAGGCGAGGCCCCCAGTAAGGAGGCCTCCGGAAGAGGCAACTGGCTAGGTATGCAGATGTGCTTATGAGCATGGCTGGCCAAGGGGGACTGAGTCTATTGCTACAACTCTCCGCAGAGACGGCACTGAACTGGCTGTGCTCCAAGTCTGTTCTGGGGAGGACAGCTTCCCCCTGGACGCCTGCCAGGAAAAGCCTTGTCGTTGCCTATGGCCAGGCCTGAAGGATCACACATAGGATTCTAGTCTAGAGCAGGACTCCTCACCTACCATAGGCAAGTCTTTGTGGTCAATTAATGCTATGGTACTGCAAAGATAAATATATAATATGGTTACTGAATTCCAGCACCTGCTCAGTAGTGATATGAGCAGAAAAACATTACAAACACGAAGAAAAATAATGGAACAGAATATGGAACTATTAGAAAACACTTGGAGCATAACCCCTTTTTGTACATATATAGCCCTTAGGACAACTTCCAAAACAAAATGAGTGCTGTATAAGCATTGGTCATGTACTGTTTCTATTGTTAAAAGATTAGATCCATGCAAATAGGTAACACCAGAGTTAGAAGAAATTGAAGTACTGTTTAAGATATATATACTCACGATTCATCTAAATCTTCTACAAATACTTTACAGAAAGCCATATCAAGTAAAAAAACTGAAAAAAAAAGAAAAAGACAAAATGTATACAATAAATGCTGACTTCTCATTCGGCTTGTACTACATGCTTAGTCATCCATAAAGTGTTTTTGATTTTTTATAACCTACCATAAAATCCATCATGATTTGTTCCAGAGGACAAATGATGCAAAGATATATGTAGTTCTTCCATCTAATACATATTTATTCTGCATGCAATTACATTGTATCAGGCAAGTTCTACGGAGGAGAGTAAATCTAAGACAGAGGTTCTTTTACAACATTTTTACTCTTATCCCATTTTCCTTTTTACCATCTTAGAGTAGAGATAGAAACCGTTCTTCTAATTTTACTGTAGCAGCAATGATCCCTCAGTAGCAACTCCAAATGCCATTCAAAATACTATTAGCTTTATTTCACCAAATTTATAGATAGAAACAAAAGTGAGATACACCTAATACAAACAGTGCCTTATTGCACAGTCATTACAGGGTGCCTCGCACTGAACGGTTGCTTGGCCATTCCTCTTAAGCCCAGGGGGCCGTGGGGGGAGGAAGCGAAAGTGACAAGACTCGGAACCTAAAACCAAAAACGTCGCCAAGTTCGGTAGGTGGCGTCCCTGACGCCTGTCAGTGGGACCAGAGCAACTGGAACTTCCTGCCACCCTCAGCGGAGAATCAGGGAGGAGGACGCATTTCCCCGGCCCGGCCCTGATCCCCCGCGCAGGGACCCTAGGGCGTCGTTCGGTGAGGAGGGCCCGGCAGGGGCGGAACACCTCGGCGGACCCCACGGCCTGTCCCCACCCAGGCCTGGGCCCTTACCCGTGGCGCAGAGCCGCAGGCTGGCCCCGCGTCTCCCAGCTGCCATGATCGTCGCCGGAGAATGCGGACCCGGCTCTGCCTGGAGGAGAGTCACCAGCGGCCGCCGCCTGTGCTCCCGGAAAGGGAAGCGAGGCTCTCGGGGTGCGGAAAAGAGACGCGGCGCGGACAGCGGGGGCGGGGCAGGCCGCCTCTGTTCCCTCCCAGGGCCTCGCGGGTCTCCGGCGCTGAGCATGCGCGGGCCTGGAGCGCCTGCGCAGTCGCCTCTTCCCGGCCGCCGCGCTCTGGAGTGCGTCGCGGAGCGTGGGAACCCGTCCTGTGGCCGCCTTCCCGTGGGCGGAGCGGTGTGTGCGGGTTGGGTGCGTCTCTGGGAAGTTGAATACCGTCCCCGGTAAACTTAGAGCAAACTGTCAGATAAACCCCCGCCCCGCAGCTCTGGGTTGAATTCTGCAGAGCTTTCACTTGGTGCTTGCATGCGTGAGCGCTAAAATTCCTGGACAGAGGTGGGTGTCCGCGGTGGGGGAAGGATGGGCGGCTGCAGGGCCGCGTGACCCGCCACGTGTTTTCCACAGTCAGTTGGAGTCTATTTGAACCTGTTCCTAACACGGGAGGTCTGTTCTAGTAGTAAGCTCCATTAATGCGTTTATTCCAACCAAAGGAGTCCCTTTTAAAAAACTGTTTCCATTGAAACCTGAGAAAGGGAAGTTGATCATAGGATAGGTTTTCCGAATGTTTTTGGAAAAAGCAACATTACTATATTGCTGTCTTTTTTTCCCCGTACGAACCAACAATGGTTTGCAAAAAGCTTTATAGTTCTACAGGTTGCTTCCTACAGCAGCCACTACATCTGACTTAGATGAACTCTTTATAGGACGTAAAATACCGGAGAATTTAGAGTAAATCTATTACTGAACCTTTGTTATGAAAAAAAGTGGCTTATGATGTCAGCTGGTTCACCGTACGTTCAAAATCCCAACAGGCAGAAATCCCACAAAACATTGCTATTCCTAACCATGGAAAGATTATATTACAATCTGAGAGCAAGCCCTAGACTTCCTCCCCTCTATGAACATGCAGCATAGTATGCAGTGCCGGCGTGCAGCAGATTCAAATACATTTTTTAGTTGAGCATACTCGTTTGTTCTAAAAGTTTTAACATCCATAAATATTTACTTCTCAAAAGTTCTCGAAGTAGGAAAGACAGATGAGGATCCAGGGGCTCAAAGAAGGTAATTTGCTTATTAGCTAGAAATGACGGAGTTGCTATAGGAAACAATGTCTCAGCTCCAGAGCTGGTGTTCTTTCTGTAATACCACTCCACTTCTCAGGGTTTCTCTCTGCCCTAGAATTATCTCCCTCCCTCTTGCCCATCTCCATTTTCAGTCATTCAGTTTTGGCTAATGGTACAATGTTTGCGCAATTTCCCTGGAAAGGTTCTGTATTGAATGGAACAGTGTTTTTTTTAAAAAAAAACCCTTTCACATGAACTACATATTATATATACCTTGTATATTATGCATACCCATCCTCACTAAAAGGCATGTGCAAGAATGTCTATAGTAGATCTGTTTGCAATTGTGGAAAACGAAACAAATGTCTATCAATAGAATGGCTAAGTTGTGCTGTACTCCTATAGCAGAATACTATAGAGCAATGATAATGTACTTTTGCATAGATAAGTGCATGGGTACATATCATGAACAAAGTGTTAAGCAAAAGAAACAAAAAAACAAAGAAAGGTGTATGATTTTATGTGCATAAACTTAAAAACAGGCAAATTAATTAATAGTGTTAAAAGTCAGGGGTGCAGGTAAGGCTTGGTTTTTTTTATCTGAATGCTGGTACCATAGATGTGTTCACTTTATGAAAATGCATTGAACTATGCTTTTACAGTTTGTGTACTTTTTGGTATCTATACCCTAGCAGTAGGGTTTATAAATAAAAATAAAGCAATAAGTTTTTAATGGAAAGGTGATCATTATACAGTGTTAAACTGCGTCTCAAGTTGTACTTAGTTACTGAAAACTTGATAAAACACAGTTTACGCCCACTCCTTACAGGATCTGAGCTAGTCGGCATGCGTTTGCACTTCTCACAAGTTCCCAGGTTATGCTGTTGCTCTGGCCTGCAGATCTTATTTAGTGGTATTGAGAGAAAATAAATCGAGAAAAATACCATTCACTTTTAGATTGCTTTGTGTAAAATAAAAGAGGTTAAAAAAAATCTAGGAATAGAAGTCAAAATTTTTAATTGTTATTTCATGATAGTGTGCAATGGTTTTATAGTTAATTTTGTGACATTACTTAGTTTTAAATGTCTCAGAATTTCTACTTTTTTAAGTATTGATAGATACAACTCTCATTTTTTAAAAAAAAAGCTTCTAGAGTCCTCCATATATTTTGAAGAATGTACAGAGGTGCTGAAAACGAAAGTTTAAAAACAAAGTGGACATGTATGCAATGTTGCACTCAATGAGTAGGGAGTGCATGCTCTTCTCTAGCACACCTGAAAGAGGTAAAAGAAAATCACGTACCTAGCATAGCCTAAAGCAAGTTTCTACATACTGAAGAAAATGTATTAATATGTTCTCTCACCACAGCACAATTAGATTATAAATCTGTAGCAGGATAAAAATATCTCTCCACTCTGGAAATTTAAAGATTCACTAATAAACATCATCTTTGTGAAATGTAATAATAGGAACTGAACTGTACACAGAAAAGAAAGAAAACATGCCTTATAAAACTGTAATGCAGCAAAATCTAAGCATTCACAGAAGTTTATGGATTTAAATGCTTTCTATTTTGGAATGAAAAAAGAATGAAACTTCGTGAACTAAATTCTAAGAAGTGAGGGAAACAACAGAAAAAAGAGGAAAGCATGAAAGAGAAACAAGGACATTTGTTGTATTTTATTGGGCCAGAAAATGTCCTGTGCACTGAGAACATAGCGTTGAACAAAGTAGACCCTCGCATGGTTCATTTCCTAATTGGATGTAAGAGGCATTGCTTGTATGGCATATGTACAGTCAGGTAGTGTTCTAAGTGCTTTACATACATTAACTCATTTAGGGAGAGGGAAAAAAGGGGTACAGTAGGGATACTCAAAGAAGTTCCAAGGTGTCTTTTGAAGCAATGAATAAAATGGACAAATTTCTTGTTATTGTGAATTCAGAAATAGAGTGAAAGTACATGAGAAAGAGTGAAGAAATGAGAAAACATCTAAAGCATTCAGAAAACATCTTCCAAGAGGCAGGCTGAATCATCCTTCAGGGCCAGAAATGTGGAAGGCAGTTTAATGTTGGACCAGTTCAGGTAAGACAGCTCCTGCACTTATTCCATTCTTCCTTCCTATACCCCATCTTATGAGAGTAAAGTCCCAGTTAATTAGCTGGGTAGGCAAAAAAGAGAGGGTAATCAAGACCCTCTATCCCACTGCCTAAACCAGTCTCTGTGAGGGGAAAGGGAAACATTTTTGTTAGTAAATCCAGTTCAGAATTTTAATTAGTACTAAGACTGTATGTACATTATTAGATTATGTTTGCAACTTCAAGTTAGCTAGAACTATCCATTATTCAAATGGGCTTGTTAGAATTGTCATACAGGGACAGGAGAAGAATACTCACACAGAAAAATGGTTAAAGGGATAATGCAAGGACAGTCAGTTGTATTTTGATGTCACTACGTTTATTCATTATAATAGTGTCAATAATGTTAGGACATAAAAGTATATAGATACATAGGCAGCAGAGGTTAAAAAGATAAACAGCTTTATCGCAGTATATATGAAAACTTAAAATCAAAAGTTTATAAAACCAAGATTGATTCAAGAACTAAAATAGTAATAACCGGAAAGCCATTATAAGGAATTGAATCAGAAGTTTGGAATTTTCATAAGAAAAATGTGTTATCCAAGTTCTATGAAAAAAAAAACTGTTACAAACTCTTCCAGATAACAGAAAAATAGGGAACACTCCCCAGTTTGCTCAATAAGATATATATGGTATAAACTTATATAAGCTGGTAACAAAGCCAGTGAAGGCATGTGTGAAAAAAGAGTTATATCGGTCAATTCATCCATGAACAAAAAATGGGAAAAAATTCCAAATAAAATATTATCATACCAAATCTAGCCATGCACCAACAAAGATAAAATTGGGGTTTTTCCCCAGAAAAGCAAACATTTAACATTAGGGGGGGAAATTAGTGTAAATTTTCCACACAGTAACAGGTAAAAGATGAAAAATATTTAATCATTTTAGTTAATACAGTAAAAGAATTTGGTGCATATCGACCCCCCAATCTGAATAGTAAACTAGAAAAGGAAGCACAGCTCTTCAACATGATGTTTTGTGCAGGTTAATTTTCAGCAGTTCTGAAATTAATTAAGCCTGAAATTAAGACATTATCAGAGTTCCTGCATGGCACTGTCCTCTGATACCAGTACTTGAAAAATGCTAATTAATAATGTTGCTTTTCTAAAAATGTGTCCAACAAGTTTTGGGGTGGTTTGTCAGCATTATTTTTAAGAGATTTATGATTTGCATCCAGTTTTCTTAAGAGAACTCTACATTGAGGCTGATTTTGTATCAGGAATATGCATATGTGACCAGCAAAATATTTTAAAATCCAGCCAGCTTCTTGGGCTCCCAAGGAACACCTAGTTCTAAGGTGTTTTATGTACATGTAGTTCTTCATTCAAAAGAAAAAATGCTTAACAACCATGACCCTGTGGAAGAGAGAAGCTTGGACTAGATCTCCCCAGGCTCTTTGCTGCAGGAAGCCTATGACAGTGAACTAAATCCTTACTTCAAGACTGTTGTTATATTGTATCTGCTCCTCTAATAAATTATAGATTTATACGTATTGTTATTTGGAGTCCTAACAGTCTTCCTTAGCATTAGTTTTAGTACAGTTGTCATTAGAGGTGGGATTTCTTAGAAGGCTTCTGACTCATTCTTTACTAAAAATATGTCTTAGGCATTGTTTACAAAGAAAAAGATGATTCTGATAACGGGGATGGAAGTGAACTATTGATTCAGAAGTGATTGCCAAGGTAATCTTGGTTTGAAGTAACACAAGCTTCGAAATCAGTTGCTGACAAGACTTTCCATTGCAAACTAGAAATGATAGAACCGGAAGGTCAGGAACCAGCAAAATCAGAAGTGCAAACTGATAGCAGGCGGCTAAAACAGTTCCTAGTTGCTGCTTTCAATATTAGCAAAAGTGGATGCTCAGAATCCCCTTCGACTGAGCTTCATCTTCTCTGGCTGGCACATGGAGCTCCAGCCGAAGGAGCTTGGGCTTTCTAACTTCTGAGGGTCTCCTGGGCCTGTGAGACCCACTGCGATTAGGGGGTAACTCAATTGGGCAAGTTGATGGAGGGCAGGAAACCGGTGAAGTAAGGGGTAACTCAGGAACATAATGGATGCATTTTATAGATTGTTACAAGCATGTGTAGATGACCCTGTTAAAATGGCTCCTGAGTTGTAGACCCAGTAGCAGTGTGTCTGGCTTTGAGTACTGCTGAGTGGAGAGGGGTATTTGCAGTCATCCTCGATTCTCCTTTGGCTGTTGTCTTTGTGGGATAGTTCAAGGGGAAGTCCTTGCTAGCTAGAGTGACTAAAGACAGAGGACATTCATCCTAGAGAAGAGTCCTTGCTCAGACCCTCCCTTGTCAGTTAAATGTCAGAGTCCTCTGCTGCTGCAGGCTGCCGGACCAGCTGTGTGACAAAATAAGCTCCCCATGGGATGCCCCTCCCCCAGGTCGTGGTAAAAGGAGCCCCAGCACCCTGGCCACCCCATTTTGCACCCTATTTTGCACCTCAAAGAATGTAAAAGAGGCAGTTTTGGATCTTTTATCCCATCTTCCTCCTATGAAACTTCAAGATAATACAAAGATTAGGATTTTACAAAAGAAAGGAAAGGGTTTACAAACAAGAAAAGGGCAAGAACTCAGGACTTAGTGGTGGGGAAGTCTGGTTAATTTAAAATGACATTAAAAAAGGAGGAAATTGGCAGAGTATTCATGAAAACTTTGATAGAATTTTATGAGAATCTAAGAAGACACGACTGCCTCTCCTCACACTTCCCAAGATATAAAAATACTAAAGCATATATGCTTGTGTTAATCCAAGATTAGAGGAATTTCAGGTGGAAAAAGGTTCTCATGAGCCTACAGCACCAAGTTCCAAAACACCTACCTTTTATACTAAGGCAATACCAGTTTTCTATTACTACAGCTTGAAAAAACAGAAATTTACTATTTCACAGTTCTCTGGATTAGAAGTCCAGTAGACCAAACCAGTTTCTCTGTCTCGGATCCCACAAAGCGAAAATCAAGATGTCAGAAGTCTCTGGGGAAAAACTCATACCCAAGCTCATCCAGTTTGCCAGTAAAACTCATTTCCCGGTGGTGGTAGGACTGTGGCCCCATTCCTTGCTGGCTGGTGGCTGGGAGTTCTTCTCAGCTTCTCGAGAGAGGAAGAGAACTTACCGTTCCCTGACCATGGCCTTCATCACAGCCAGCAGAGTGGACAGAGTCCATGCCTCGGATCTAACTCTCCCTTCTGCTGCAGCTCCGACTCTTCTTTCTTCCTTCTCTGTTTTTAAGGGCTCACCCTGGGTCCACTTGGCTAATCAGGAATCCCTACCTTTAAGCCCCTGTTAATAACCTTCCTTCCATCTGCGCAGTCCCTTCAGAACAGTGCCTGGATTCGTTTTTGGCTGAATAAGCAGGGTATTTGAATCTTGAGAGGACGTCTTTGGAACTGTTCCTGCCACAGGAGGCAGTGGAACAAGAGTGCGATGCAAAAGTCAGGCCTTTCCAGATGTGTGGGTGAGATGGCCTGGGGATGGATAAGAAGCTCTTTCAGGTCAAATGGATACAGGAGCACTGCTTAGGCCCCCTAATGAGACCCTTAGGGGTGATAGAATTAGTTTAGGGGAACAGGGAGATGCTACTGTAAAAGGAATAAAAATTAATGTCTCATTAAAAGTTGAAATCCATGATTTTAAAAAGTGTACTGTGGGGATGTCTCCTTTACCGGAATGTTTAATTGGTGTGGATGTAATGATTGGCTAAGCATTCTTCTCTCTACTGAGTAAAATAAGAAAGAGAAATAACTTGTAGATATGTCCCAGATCCATTACTAATTGGAAGTAAATAATGGGAGCTCTTAGAGTTACCTACGCCTATTCAAATAGTTAATTTGAAACACTGTCATATGCCTACGGCCACAAAAATTATTGCCCCAATTAAGAACATGTCAGATGCAGGTATGTTAATTCCCATGCACTCACTCTACAGTAACTTGGTTTTGTCAGTGAGAAAAGCTGATGGCTTGGAGCCTGACTGTGGACTCTAGGGGCTCCATTAAACAGTAACCCTAATAGCTTAAGCAGATCCCAATAGGGTTCAGACTATTCAGCTACTTAACAGATTATTTCAACAAGCTATAGTTGAGCTGGCTAATGCCTCTTTTCAGTATTTGTTGCTAGGTAGGGTACGGAAAGTCAACAAATGTTCATTGGTGTGTGGTGGTTTCTGGTAGACCTTGGCCTCAAGGATATTTGAACCTCCATGTACATTGTCACAAGCTACTGAGGCAGACCTAGTGTGAGACCATGGTGCAGTGTTTTAGTGCACTACATTGATGATGTGATTACTTGTGAAACTGACAATCAAGCTAAAGCGACTTCACTCTGATTGTAAATGACATGACTAGTTGAGGATGGTTAATGAGTCCTGAAAAAAATCTAGGACCTTGAACAGACTGTAAAATTTGGGAGGATCACTTGAGCTGGAGTGTTTTGTGACATGCAACATACCACTAGGAATAAAATGTTCTTGCTCCCTGCCTCACAGACTGAACTAAACAAGCATCCTAAAGCCTAACAGGTCTATTTGGTTTTTGGAGAAATATTCTCCACTTAAAGATACTATTGGGCCCCAGTAACCTGGAAAAAGTTCATATTTGATTGGAAACCTGAGCATACATTTAAAAAATATATCGTTAATATTATTGAAAAAAATGGCACCTTGTAATAAATTAACAGTGTGTGACAGCCATTTGGATTATAAACATTACTTAAATAAACTAAAGGAGATACAAAAAATGGGGAAATAAAACGTTTAGTGGATGGGAAACTCAACATCACACAGTTTTCTGTTATCTCCTAGATTATTTATAGCCTCAGTGACATGATGTTGAAAATTTTAAGTTTTTCCAAGACTTTGACACACCGACTTGTAAGTTTATATACAAGAGCAAATGTCCAAGTATATTCAGACATTCCATATAGAAAAAGGTGAG